CAAGGACTCTACTAGGGGCTCCTGGCCTTACTACTAGGAGCAAGGACGCTACATTTGTCCTAGTGTTGTTTCGATTCTCAAATGCTGCGTACTGTAGACAGAAGAGATTGCTTGAGGGGATTCTGAGGACTCTTCATTTAAAAAGACCCACTATATTTGGTTGTTTTACATGCGCTGTTCAAAAGACATGGTGTGCCCACAGGTTTGTCTGTCGCTTTTGTGTTTGGATGTCTAGACAAGATGGGTGATGGTCAATAGCTCAGAGTAGCAGCCTGAGCAGTGGCACCAACTAGTTTTGGTGTGTGTGTGTGTGTTTTGGCGTATTCTAGGATGGGACATGGATACTCTTCCAAAGCCGCGTTTCGGGTTTTGTGGGCCAAAAGCGCCGTGCGCAGGAGCTTTTGGCATGTGCCACCTGCTTCAGTGCCATCGCCTGGCGCGAAGACATCTTGCAGGTGCGACATCTGCGATTCCATCATTTCATCCAAGGCCTCCATGAGGCCGTCCGAGGTTCTTTCAACCAAATGCGTCACCAGGTGCCATGGGCACCACCCCTGGTGCAAAGCAAAGGTTTTTTGTTAAAAACCTGGTTTTATACATTACAACCCTCTTTTTGAGAGGGGGATATCAAAAACCAGGTTTTTGAGACTTCAGGATTTTGTGCTGCTGAAAGCAACCATGAATTGTAGCGGCTGATCAATTGGACACGTGCCTTTCACCCTGCAACTGCAGAACTAGTTTCCGCGTCGACGGCTAGCTAAGTCTAGCTAGGTCTGAGGGAACAAATATGTACTTACTTATTAGTGACTTAGCTTGGACTTAGCTAAGGTAGATTTAGCTTGGATTTAGATCAGACTTTGGCTCAACTGAGCTTGGCTTCCTAAGGCCTAGCCGCTAGCCAAGCACACCTTAAGTCTAAGCTAACTCCTAGAAGAGTCTTCCGACAGCTCTTGTTGCTAAATGTTGAAGGGGAAAAGTGCAACAAACTTGTTTGACTGTACTTGTCACTTCGTGTAAAGGCAATGTGTGTCAGAAAAAAACTGTCTGGCAGGGTTCCCCCTGCACTTCAGGCTTAAACGGAATATGTGTCATTGTGAAAACCGTGTTTCCATCAACATTTTCTAGGACTTAGATTGGAATTACTTTGGACTTAGTTTGGACTCGGACTTAGGTCGGGCATAGGTTGGATGTACCAAGTCCAAGCCAAGTCCAAGTCAGCCGGATGTGAAATAACTTTGAATCAGCTAAGTCAGTCAGGCCTAAGCAGTTACTATCCAGAGTTAGCTAAGTCAAAGCTAAATCAAACCTAATCTGTGTAAAGGTTAAGAGACTTAAAATAAAACGACCGGATAACCCCACATGATAAGTTTTACAAATTTCAATTGTATATGAACATCACATGGGAGACGGAGTAGTGAGATGAAAAGTCAAGAACGAAGTGTGAGGAGAGAAGGTATATGAGGCGGTTGTGCTAAGACGTGTAGTATAAGTGATGATGTGATGGACGAGGATGAGAAGGAGGGGAGGGAGGAGGTGTGTGTGATGAGAGGGACGAGAAAGAGAGAGAGAGAGAGAGAAGGAGGCGGAGAGAGAAGTTTGGAGGCTCTGGATTTTGCGATCAGATCCGCATGAGACCTTCAAAACGTAACACACTCGAAACGACCATCAAAGCTATCAAGTGGTCTTATCCCGACCACGGCGGGCAGTGCTAGCAGGATGTAAAGTGGAGTGAGTGAGTGGAGTGAGTGAGTGGAGTGAGTGAGTGAGTGAGTGAGTGAGTGAGTGAGTG